ATATATGCGCACTCTCACACAGCAGTCACTAATCTCCCCCCCCCCACTACCACCCCGACCCCACCTCCATTCCCACCCACACCACCACCTCCCCCACCTATTGCCTACTGCTGCTGCCGCCCCTACAGCGATTGTTGTTGTTTTGTTGTTTTTGGTTTCGTTGTTTTTGTTGTCATCGTTATTTTTGATGTCGTTGATTTGCTGCTGCTGCTACTGCTGCTGCTGCTGCTGCTGCTGCTGCTGCTGATGGTGATGATCATGACGACGACGACGACAACGACCACAACGATGATGATGATGATGATGATGATGATGATGATGACGATGATGATGATGATGATGATGATGATGATGATGATGATGCCGCTAGCTGCTCGCATGCATCGTCAAGGTGCAAAGTCGTTGACATCTTGCCAAGTGACAGCTGTTGTAGGACCGTGGCGGCATCACAGCCTGAGTCTGCTCGGTACACGTGTACCACGCATTCGTTTACCTGCATGTGGAAAATTACTCTGAAAGTGCGCGCATACTCGCCGACGTGCGCACATTCCTCGCACATAAAGCTTTACGCGTAGCTGATGGAGTAACGGTAACGGCAGTGATCCGAAGTTTTCCGGTTAAACAGCAAGACATTTCCTATAGTTCTTGGTTAATTGTAATCGCAAATTTGACGCTTCTCTCGCGTTCCTGCTGACTTCTAATGCGTGAATCACGAGAAATTTGATTTCTGGCATTTCCCGGTTCCCATATAATTAAAATGTTCCAGTCCCGAGTAGTGACAATAAACGCACCGTTAATATATGCATATATATGCATATATATATGTATAATATATACATGTATAATATATACATGTATAATATCAGCGCTACCTGAGCCTTGCAGCCGCACTGCACGCCGGGAACGTTTTACATTCCACTCGCGCGGCAGTGAGGAGATTGTATAAGTGCTGACTCTGATATGCTGCCTCGAATAATTCTTTAGATAAAGGCTATGCAATCAGCTTTGTATCATGTAGAACACACATCGCCATCTATCTGCAGGTGTAAATATTTATCAATGTTGCTTCAGCGAAAAAACTGGGCAGCTTATAAAAATTGAACCGAGTCGTCGGGCTTTATTATACATGTCATACTACTGCGACGAGTATCAACTCTCTATTTTAATTTCACAATTTTAACAAAATACAACTCATTGGGCACATTCTACACAGGGCTCATTCTACACATGGGTTCATTCTACACAGGGCATGTGCGAACATAACTCTCCCGTTATCTCCTGCCGTTATGATACAGCGAAATTTCCTATGACTAGTTGTTGGGCTTATTAAACTGAGAGACTCATATAGAGAGACCCTTCACATTAAACTAATTTCTTATTTTAACGCATTTTCTAATTTTGTATATATTTTATAGTCATCTTTATTTTTTGCCTCAATTTGTTTCTACGTCTAGCTATGAAATAATGCTACATCATTCATATGATAACGGTTGCGCAAACAACTGTATATATCATCATATCGTTATGTTATGTTTCGTCTATGACCCTGTCATGAACTCTGCAGATATCTATCTATCTATCTATC